CTCCAACCCCAACCCCAACTCCTCCCCCCTCCTTTGCAAGAGACAAAATAGCATCCATTTGGGCATGGCTTGCTGAGTATGCCAAACTATTTAACCCTGTCACTACCAATTATGAGCAAATGCTGGAATGTCTTCAAAGTGACAGGACATAGTATGTATTTTAAAATAACAAAGTTTAAAAAAAAAAGATTTGTCACAAATGATAAGATAGAAATGATATGCTTTTATTGTACTAGTTTTCTATCACTCAAACATGTTGTTGTTCACATTATTCCAAGCATCATTATGATGGACATCTGCCATAATGATCAACTATAGCTACTGGATACTCATGGGGGTTCTGTGGATTCCTGCACGGGAGACACGTGAACTTTGGTTGTCTTAGAAAGATAAAAAATACAACAACAACAACAACAACAACAACAACAACAACAACAACAACAACGGCAGCAGCAGCAGCAGCGATGACGACAAACACAAACAGAATGTTCCTGAAGTGACCCTTCCACGCCGAGTTGTTCGGCGGGAAGTAGCGCAGGTTGAAAAGACAGAAAACACTTTTTTTCTGCGAAGAGATGAAGTTGCATCGGAGATTTTCTATATTTTTGTATGCGTTGTCTTGCTTTGATCTCTTTGCCTATGCGGCGTGCCAGTGTATGTGGTTTTTTGCACGAAGCTAACGTGGCTGTAGATTTCTCCTTTTCTTCGTTATCACTGTGTGATATAGTCTACTGGGAAAAAAAACTAACAAAAACAACAAAACAAATGTGAACAAAAAAGTTTTTATTTTATTTTTTATTTCAAAAGAGGATACTGTGATACGGTTTGTTATTGCCATTTGTCATGATCCTCGTGAAGAGCTCTTGTTTTTCTTTTGTAAAAATTCAAAATGCTCTTCCTCCTTCCCCCTCATACTGACTCCTGAAAAGCTTTGCCTTTTATTCTATACTTTCCCTTCTTTTCTATGAATTTTGCAAAAGGGCATGTTTATGCGACACATGCAGAAACTTCCATCTCCATGGTGATGTGAGGAGCCCCCGTTGAGGTTCTCCCAGAGGGACCGTCATTCATACAACTCAGGAAATCCCATTGGACCAGAGCATCAACGCATCCTGCCGCACGCATAACACCACTCGACTCCTCCGTGTGTGTGTGTGTGAGAGAGAGAGAGAGAGAGAGAGAGAGAAAGTCTGGTGTGCGTAGTTATTTTCTACAAATAATTAAAGCACAGATCCAGTCCCCGCATCCCTCTTTTATGTTGTTTAGAAAAGCCTCAATGTGCGACTCTGGAAGTTTTTGTGCAAGTGTGAGTGAGTTTGTGATTGTGTGTGTGTGTGTGTGCGTGTGTGTGTGTGTGTGTGTGTGTGTGTGTGTGTGTGTGACTGTATTGTAAGATGTCAGCGAGCTCCTCAGGCTTGCACCGTATATCCATTCCAAAACCCCTCCAACGCAGCGATTCCCTTTAAAACAGTGTCTGGTGTAGCTGAGCTCTCGTTGGAGGCTGAACTTTTACCGGTAGTGGAGATTTTTAAAAGATAAATAAATGATAGTGGACAGTAAATACAGTGAAGAAGAAGAAAGAGAAGGACATTGGGGAGTCTCAGTCAGGAGAACTGAAAAGACAGTGACAACTCAGGGGGAACCATTGAAGCTGTGCCTTTCATTCATCACCTTTGACCTCCCATCATCATCATCATCATCATCTATCACTGTCACCGCCAACATACTCCTTTGCATTGTTGCAGTCTCCACATTTATCATTAGTCGTAGCTTGCTTTCATTACCTCTTCGACTCACCTTTTTCAACTATGAGCAATCTAAGTAGATAAGGTATAACCCTTAATGGGTGGGGGGGGGGGGACTGTTTTAAATACGACTGTTAGCAATCGTCCTTATGTTGGTGTGTCTCTGTATGCTTCACTGACCGGCTGTAGCTGTAGGTTACAGCGGGCCGATTTGCGTCACTGTCCTTTTGGTTGACATTAAAAGCCGGGCGATGCTGGCGAAGCGAGGTTGTGCTTTTGTCCGGGCGCAGTGACGCGAGCGCAGCATTGTCTGCCCCCCCCCCCTTTATTTATCAGCCGCTGTGCATTTCTGTCTTTGTGAGTGTCCCCCATCCTCTCCCCCGTAAAGTGTGTGTGTGTGTGTGTGTGTGTGAGACAGTGTGTGAGAGAGAGAGAAGACGGGCACCTTGGCGTGATGCATTTTTCATTCACCCAGTTGTCGTGTTCTAACTTTTGCTTTAACCCCATCCTGAATCTAAAACTTATCCCTTTGTTTCTCGGCTTCCTCATCTCTCTATCCTTGTGAGAGCATTTTGTCCTCATAAGAATAGAAACAAGATTGCCCGCTGACACACACACACACACACACACACACACACACACACACACACAGACACACAGCCTGATGAATGTCTCCCCTCTCCATCCTTCTGTCTCTGTCCTGTCATTTCCTGCCTCCTCACCCTCCTCCTCCTTTGTCTCCGTCCTTTCCTCTTTACTTCCACTCTCTCCCCCCTTCCTCTCCGTCCCCCCCCCCATCTATCCCCACAGGGGGGGCTCATTACGTAACTAAGAGGAAATCTGAGTGCTACCTTTGCTGACAGGCAATTAGCCCGTGATTATAAAACCTGCCTGACGAACAGGAGATGCGTATCTCTCCCCTGCCTTTTTTTTTTCCGCCCTCCTGTCTTTTTCCCCTTCACTCCATCTGCAGCCCCCCCCCCCCCCCCCCCCCCACACACACACACACACACTCCACTGTCACAATCTTTTTCTATGTGACATCTTTTGAGGTTAGCTGTCCCAGAAAGCTCAGTTTGTGGACGGCGACGGGTGATGAAGGGAAGTGCTTCTTCTTGCTCGCCTCTGTGTTTGGAAGTGATTAATAATATTTCATAGCCCAATAACAGAAGAACACCCCGCTGTCCTTGAGTCAGACAGATGTCTTTAGAGTGAGATATTTTATGTGTGTGTGTGTGTGTGTGTGTGTGTGTGTGTGTCTCTGGGCAGTGTGCTTTAGTTTGTTGCTTCAGGCAAGTGCTGACATTGGATACTTATCAGAGACAAGTGCTCCAGATTCTGTGTGTGTGTGTGTGTGTGTGTGTGTGTGTGTGTGTGTGTGTGTGTGTGTGTGTGTGTGCGCGTGTGTGTGCATGTGTGTGTGTGTGTGTGTGATAGTGACGGAAGAACCCAGCGCTATAAAAAGACATCAAAACATCTGTTGGACAGTGTCAAGGCAGGAGGGCGTGCATGAATATTCAGTTGGTGGTGGTGCCCCCGCCACCCTATAGCCTACTTTCCATTTTAGAACAAAGCTGAAGGGCCAAACACCCCCCCCCCACCACCACCACCACCACCCCTCCTCCCACTGAGAGTGTGAAAACCTGCAAACACAACTGAGAGTGTGAAAACCACTGGAGGAACTGAACACAGACACGGTCTGTGTTTAACCCACATTAGCCTCCACCGTCTTAATTAAAACATCCCACAATCCTCGGGGGGTTCAGGTGCACAAAGTGACACCGGGCACATACACACACACACACACACACACACACACACACACACACACACACAATGGAAAGAAGGCATGTGAGAGTTCAGACAGTAAAGCCATACAGCTCACCCAACAGAGACAAAGACACTATGAACTAACAGGGTATGAGGAAAACAGATGACCCAAAATGAATGTACTGTCCCATCCACTGCACAGTTGGTTGTGTATCGCCATCAGCATCAGTCAGACACACACTCCATCTTCTCGTCCCTCTGAAATCTCAATCCTGTCTTTTATTTTATTTTTTTCCCTCTTTTGTTCCTTTTTAATACTTTTCTTCCTCTTTTGGCTGAATGTAATTATTTGAATATTACCACCTTGGATTTGAAAAATGAATCTTTGTTTGCTGCATCTGATATGATTTTGAGTTAATAAAAATATTGATAAAATTTATAAAATATTGTTATTGTTCTTTACACAAAAAACAAAAACAAAATACAAATGTGATGTGTTATATTTAATGTTATATAAACCAGACGAGAGCGTAGGAATCTACATTAATCTCACATGTAGTGTTTTATGGCTCTAATTAGATAATGAACTATCACGTTCACCTCTTTCGACATCATTTACTACTGGATATTCACACCACCATAAAGCCTGCTGCAATTAGCCCCCTGACATGACGACATCATCATTATTAAGTTATTACCAGGGCAGAGGGCGGCAGTCAGAGAGAAACCGCAGAGGGTCGAGCCGGTCTTAGTGATTCTACAGGAGTGAGTATTTCATTTTTCCATGACATCATGGTTCCCCAGGGAGCGCTCTAATCCAATTGGTGGTCCTCGGAGGGAAAGGGGAGGGAACTATCAGAGCAGGACCTGACGGATTTCAAATCAAGTCCCTTGTGTGTGTGTGTGTGTGCATGATTATCTGGAGGTTTTTTTTTTTGCTTGTTTTCTTAGACATTTGGACCTCCCACACACACACACACACACACACGTCTGGTGTGAATAAGATGCTCCATGATGAGGTTTCTAAAAATATGAAAATGGAGGGAAAAAGGCTCAATCTGAAACCAGTCAAATAATAGTCTGAGTGTATGCAGCCTTGTTTGAGAAAGTGTGTAAAATTAAAAGAAAAACATATTTTATACAATGGTAAATGCATGCGAGGTATCCAGCAGTGTCGGTGTGTTAGTGCACATCCAGGTGAATATAAAAAATTAGATGCTTCCTTGTTGAGTTGGATTGAAAGATTGCAAGATGGAGCCGTGTTAGCTGTTTCCCCCAGCTTCCCGTCTTTATGCTAAGCTAGGCTAATAGTGTCCTGCCTCTGGCTACATACTTAAAACAAAGACATGAGTGTGGTATCGAACCTCTAATCTTAACTCTCGGCATGA